TCTCTTCTATAATTTTTATCTATCTATCTATATATAGATATACACATATATCGATAAAAATTCTACTGAATTCTACTGAATCCAATTGGTGTTGCCTGTGTGTACATATGCTTAGGGCTGACCACGTAGGCTTGGGCAACCTATAAGGAAGCTCACCTCTGAAGAAAACTGATTCTCAGCAGTCACTGATTGCCTATAGCTCTTATTCTAGGAATGGGAACTTGTGAACTTTTCCCCCATCCTTGTTAGCATATCAACTGGTGTGGTCTTATGCAGGCAATCATATTGTTGAGAGTTCACGGGTGCAGTATCCATGTCACGTCCAGAAGACACTATCTTGCAGCAGTCATTCCAGTTCTCCAGTTCTTACAATCTTTCTGCCCCTCTTCCACATGTTCCCTGAGTGTTACAGGTGTCACTGTGCAAAAAAAGTCACTTACTCTCTACATTTTGACTAGCTGTGGATCTCTGTAATAATCTCCATCTACTGAAAAAATGAGAAGTGAGAACTGCACTTACCTACAGGTATAAGGATTTAGAAGGCTACTGGAAACTATATTAATTTAGCAAAATAGTAGTATGTTCTCCTCTAAAGTCTATGACCCCTCCAGACATGGGTTCTTGGCTAGGTTTATAATACCAGGCTTGAGTTCCCTCCTATTAAGCAGGCCTTAAGTCCAGTTAGACAGCTGCTAGTTACCACCAAGATAAAAGTACCAGTCTTATACCACTGGGCTATCTTGTCAAAGTAGTCATTGTTGTGGTTCCAAGGTTTAACAGCTGGGTAGGACTGTTGATAACTTTTCTCCCTTAGCAGCTTACATAGCACCTTCCAACACTATGGAGCTAGGCCTCAAGGGGAAGTCTTTCAGGTCAGTAACAGCTTGATTTCTCCAAGTCCTGGTACCAAAGTATGTGGTGTCTTCAACAACAGAGTCCCATCCTCAAGTTCTAAGGGGCAACCAAGAGCAATGGCAATAGTCTATATTGTTTGGAGGGTCTCTTGGATCTCATTAACTAATAACTCAAAAAGAAGTATCCCTTGTTTGGCACTGAGGTTTTTCTTAGATAGGCTACAGCTCCTGGAGGAGCATTATGCCCCCATGTGGGGTCACTCCATTTAAACTACACACACACACACACACACACACACACACACACACACACACGCACACACATACACACACGTACTTAGATGTCCATTAACTGATGGGTAATGAAAATGTGGTATGTATACTAAATGGAAAATGAAATCATAAAATTTGCAGGTAAATAGAACTGGAAAATATTACATTAAGTGAGGTAACCTAGACCCAGAAAGATAAATGCCACATGTTCTCTTATTTATGGATTCTAGTTCCAAATCTTTAAGCTTGAGTGTATAATTTGGCATGATCATAGAAGCCAAGGGTGCTGGAAAGCTTCAGTTATAGAAAGGGACCACTAAGGAGGAGGAAAGAGAGGGCACTCTAGAGAGGAGATAGGAGAACACAGGTGCTATGGAGGGGGGAGAGACTAAAATGGGGAGTGAAGAACTCACACACCTGTGGAGGTCAGAAGACGACTTGCAGACGATAATTCTCTCTTCTCACCATGTGGGTCCTAGGGTCTGAACTCAGGTTCCCAATCTTAGTGGCAAGTGCCTTTACCCTCTGAACTATCTTGCCAGCCCTTCTGAAGTAATTTAAATGCTCATTCCAGAAAGCTTTAATAAAAGTTTAAGTTGTATATGCATTTTAAGTAAGCTTATAAAATAATGCACTTTTTAAAATATCCTAGTGTTATTTATCCTTCTCTCTTTCCTCTCCTTCTGCATTTTTCTCCCTCCCTTCTCCTCATCAAATAGCTTCGAAAAGCACTACACAAAAGTGCCAAGGTAGGAGGCACTGCTGCAATTCAAGTGTTTCACAGCACTCTGAAATACAGCAGTAATCTGAGGAATGAAAGGGGAGAAAAAAATGAATTCGAAAACTTGTTAATGGAAATTTGGTAGGATCTAGAGGGGAAATAGATGAAATAATGAAGGACTAGCTCTACATGAAAAAAATCAGAATGCTAACTGAGCAGCAGCTGTTGATCACACGCTCATGCATACCACGTAACCATGTATGAACACTAAGGAGGGGCTACTCCAGGCAGAAAAATTATACGGCATTCTTACAGAGATTAAGAAGAAAATGAGTGGGGCCAGAGAGATGGCTGAGTGATTAAGAGCACTGGCTGCTCTTGCAGAGGACCCAGGTTCAGTACCTAGCACCCACATTGTGACTAACAACTGTCCAGAACTCCAGTTCTAGGGGATCCTACACCCTCTTCTGACTTCCATGGGCATTGCACGACACAGGTGCACTTATATACATGCAGGCAATACACTCATACACATAAGAAAATAAAAATAATAAATAAATTTTTTTAAAAAAGAAGAAAATGAGCTAACAGGTCCAGAGGATTGTAGAAAAAGATGACCACTACCTTATGGAATTATAAAAGGCATCACACTTTACATAATAAAAGAATACCCTACCTTTGCCGTCAATCAGACTCAAGATTCTGACACCTTCTTCACTCAACTAAGTTCTTTAGCCTCTCTAAGCCTATTTAATGAGGATAAAACAAGCTAACACCATTTTTGAAGATACTAAGCACTTTACTAAGTGTTTTACATATGACCTCATTTAATTCCCATGATACATTTTACAGATGAAGAAATTAAAATTTAGAACTAGTAAATAGTATAACCAGGATTACTATTTCTTAAGATGATTAAATAAAGGATAGTATGTGCAGTCACACCACATAACAATGTTTCTGTCAATGATAGATCACACAGATGAGGGGGCCTAAGATTATATTGCCTAGTAACACTACAGCCTTTTACGCAGCTTTATATAAGTACACGTATATTTGTACAACAAAATCACCTAAGAAGTTTCTCAGAAACAAGTCCCAATGTTAAGCCGTGCTGTATAAACTTCCTGGCACATAATACAATCTCAACAATGATAGTTATGTTTTATTATTAGACAGTAATGATCAAAAGAGAAACACAAAAATTCCCTGTCATAACTCAATCTTCCATGTGGCAAACTCTTAGTATCTTCATCTATAAAATAAGGCTGTTGTCTGTAATCCAACCAATTCCACAGTTGCTGAAAATACTCATGAATTTGAAAATGTTATCAAAAATATTGAGACATTAAAATATAGATTACTATTATGTATCTCTTGCTCTTTATAAATACGTTCCTGATGGGCTGACAACATAACTCAGTACATAAAGGCAGTTGTCACCAAGCCTGATGACCTGAGTTCAATGGTGGAAGAAGAGAACCTCCTTCCGCAAGCTGTCCTCTGACCCCCACACAAGGCATGACACAAGCACACCCACATACACACACATAAATAATAAGTAAATAAAATGTAACTTTTTTAAAATGCCTTCCTGAGCCAGGAGTGAGAGCTACATAGTCTCAGGTATTCATGAGTCTGAGGCATAAGGATATCTTAAGCCCAGAAGTTCAATGCCAAGCTGGGCAACATAGAAGCGGGGAGGGGGAGCTAGAAGAAATGCATTCTTAGATCAAAATAAGTCTCTGAAGAAATTTAAATTCAGAAATAAGTCTGTTTTATGTGAAACTACTACTTTGAAAGTATAAATAGCCATGGTATTATCCACATCTTCCAACTCCTCCAGGTTCTCTGATGTCTCTTCAAGGGCAGGTTATTTTCTTACAATTATAATGAAACTGGTAATTTACAGAAGAGTTTATCAATAAAGAGCTTCTACTTCAATTCAGATTTGTTCAAGTTGGCCCAAGGTGTGGTCTCAGAGATGTCCCTTATTGTGCTAAAGCAGAAGTAAGTTGCAGGTTTTCTTCTGTAGTATTCAAGTGGGTGCCCAGTGGAGTACTAGAAGGCAGACCTAGAAATGGTTCCACAAAATGCTAGAAATAACCTATCAAAGACTTGTTTCCAGGGTTCTGATAGCATGTCCCTTTGGGAAACCTGTCCACAGCCTCCCTTTTTGCACTTGAACAGATGGTTTCCAGGCCTCAAGGCTCACCTGTCTAGCCATACAATTCACTATAGCTCACAAAGTCTTTTTTAATTATTCCACGTTCTTGAATATTACACCCTTCATCTAAAGATCTCTAGGTATCAAAACACATGAACTCTTTAATCTTCACCAAAGCACTCTCTGGGAGAGAGTTCTGTGAACTAAAAATGAAAGACTGAGGTTCAATGTTTTATCCAACATCAAACAATTGGTTGATTCATTCTTGGGGGTAGAGGAAGAGCACATTATGATCCATCAATGGACAACATTTACTGAGCTTCCTAAGATCATTGCAAATACTAGTTCAAACATATTATAGGCATATGCTTCCAATATGCCAAAGATAGCATACCAAAATATCACTATTTTTACATGCAAAACTATATGGGGGAGGGGTTCTAATTTAAGGTCCCTACTGTCGTGCATCCATAAATTCTTTGAAACTTGAGGGGTAGGGGGAGAAACACCTGTCAGTGTAACAGATCCACAATGTTTTACACACTGCGTGGCTATTAATACTTAATTCCTTAAACTGTAAATAAACATAACCCATTTTCTCAAAGGGGGGCGGGATGTTCATAGTAGGAAGAACACTTAACCAAAAAAAGAAAGAAAAGTGTGCATGGTTGTTGGGCAAATTTACGTCCTCGCCTTTAGGTCTCCGGGTTCCATGGACTTGCCACGAAGGAAAACCCCACCGGTCCCAGGATCAGGATCAGGCCGCGGGGAGCCCGGCGCTGCCCACCCAGCTCGCCCCGCGCGCCGTCCGGAGCCGAGACTCGGTGTCCCCACAGGACTCCCGACCTCGCCAACAGACGCGGCCGCCCCCGGGGCTCGGCTGGGCTCCACGCCTGGCAGCACCAGGGTCGCTGCCGGCCAGGCCTAGCCGCCCAGCGCCCCGCGGCGCCGCTTCCGTCCTCATCCCTGCTCCCGCGGTCGTTACCTCTTGGGCGCCGGCGGCTGCTCCATGGCGACCGGTGGCAGAAAGAGGGGCCAGGTGGACAGTGAAGGCCGGAGGGAGGAAAAGAGCTGGGGAGCAGCGGGCCAAGCGCAGGCAAGCACGCAGGGAAACTCCAGGAACTTGACCAACTTTCCCGTAACTCCACGGCGGATCTCCCTCCCGCTCCGGAACGCGGCTCCTCCCGGCCCGCTCCGCCCCGCCCCGCCCCGCCCCTTGGCCTCAGGCAGCTGCACGGAGCTTGTGGGAAGAGCAGCTCGAAGCCTGTGGAGAGTGGGCGGGGCCGACCGCGGCCTAGAGAGGGTGGGCGGGGCCGACCGCGGCCCCAAGATAGAGGGCGTGACCAGGAGTTAGTGGGCGGGGCAAAGGCGGGGCGGACGGAGGGAAAGGATGGTGCTGCACTGAGGGTAGAAGAAGGCGGTACTGTAAGAGCCGGAGGGAGAGTAGTACGCTGGCGGAGGGACTCTGGCTCAGGGCTCTCCTCCTCACTTGCCCTCGCTGCATATATCTCCTTGTGATTTGACTCATTTCTCTGGATTCCTCAAGGATACGTCCCAATCATCTTGTGAAGCCATTTGAAGTATATAACTGCCCACGCTTCCCTCCCTACTCCTGCTTATAATAATTAGTTATGTTTACCACTCCCTCCACCCGTAGCCATTTGACATTTGTCGCTATAGGAGTACAGATACTTCTGGAAATTCTGGTTTGATTTTGATTGTGGTCAAGCACAGTAATTACATCTAATAACAGAAAATAATTGCTGCAGTGATCTCTTGGTACACCAAATTTAGTGCAACCAGGTCTTGCCGGCTGTTTCGTTGTGTAACCTGAAAAACCTATCAGAAGTTATGGTACCTGGAAAAATATCCAAGAAAAATGTATTCACCTCTTGGGTCCTCTCCCCCATCCCTCACTCCTACCTTCTCCCAACAGCCCCTCATCCCACTGTAATTTGGCACATCCACTTATGTGTATGCTGTTTAACCTTAAAATACATACATACATGTTTTCTCATGACAATATACCTCTGCTATACAATTGAGTTTGCTTGCTTTTGGTATAAATTGTTAAAATGAAGAATAGCATAAGTTTTTCTTGGAGATTAGAACCATGACTATGAAGAGAATGTGGACCAAAATGAGAATCAACCCAAATTCTGTGAACAAGATAAATTACTACACGAATTTATACGGGATTACATTTACTCAAGGTCCACAGTCTCACAGTTCAGAAGTAACAGCTCAAAATTGAAAACTACATCATTAAAATGTTGATACTGGGCCAGTGAGGTGGCTCAATGGATAAAGACACTTGTGGCACAAGACTGCCAATTCCAAAGGTGGAAAGAGAAAACCACCAACTCCACAAAGTTGTTCTCTTTTCACACACACAAAAAAATAATGATAATATATATATTATATATATATATATATTTTTTTTTTTTTTACCTTTTTGAGTCAGGGTCTCCCTGTAGCCATAGCTGCCCTAGAACTCACTATGTAGAACAAGCTGGCCTCAATATCACAAAGATCTGCCTGCCTCTGGCTCCCAAGTACTGGGATTAAAGATGTGTGGCACCAGGCCGGGCTATAATGATCACTTTTTTATGTCCATACTGGGAAGCATCTTTAAAACGACTCCATCCACCTCTCACTCTTACCCTCACTCCACACTAAACTCTCATTTTTTGTATATGTTTCAGCAGAAAGCATCTTGAAAAGTTCATCTTTTTTAAAAAAATGTATCAGACTCAGAGGCTGGAGAGAGGGTGCAGTGGTTAAGAGCACTGGCTGCTCAAGGACTGGGGTTCACTTCCCAGCACCCATATGGTGGCTAACAACCATCCATAACTCCAGTTCTAGAAGATCCGATGCCCTCTTCTGGCCTCTGCAGGCATTGCACAACATAGGTGCACTTGCATGTGTGCAGGCAAAACACTCATACACCTAAAATAAAAATAAGTCAAAAAAAAAAAGTAATGCATTCGACTGAGTTTGTCATTCTTTACAACAGATTTTCTTATTGTCTTACCAATTTATTCCCCAGGAAGCCATTCCTAGTCAAACCACCAGAACCATCACTTGCTATCTCCCACAACCTCAACACAGTGCAATAAGCATCATACAAAAGCCAGCACTGTATTGAAATTATCAGAGTCATCTGCACACAACTGTGAGTCAACTGAGAGCCAAACCATACTGTTTACTCTCTCTGCTCCTTACATCACAAGTGCCTGCCTTGGAAAGGCTCTGAACTGGAGAACACCCTTTTGCTCCCCCACCCAGGTTCACTAGCCTTCTGTTCCTGCTCTTTGCACTGAGGGCTATACAACACTGAGTCCCAAGTCCTCTGTCCTTGGGTCTAGAGATAGAGACTAAAGAGAAGATTATCAAAGGAAGGAGTATGAGGTCTCTATTTATTGCCCAATTCCCTTCTCATGAGGTCACCTGCACTCCTCCTTTCAAGACAAACTATCTGCCTTCCTTTCCCTTGTCCCTCTGGGCTAAGGGTTGCAATTGTTCTACTAGTCCATGGTTCTGTCTCCCCTATGTTCCTCTAGACCTCAACCCTCCAATAACCCCATATACATTAAGTGTGCCTTAACTGACCCTAATGTCAATGTAACTTTCAAATGGCTCTATTTGAACTGTGACTGATACATTCATAAATAAAGTTTGTAGAAAGAGGAGAGATGATTTCAGAAAATAAACATCTGAGGTCTCCATTAACCCGAAAAAAAAGAAAAGACTAATGCATGTGTGGCTCCAGGTGGATTAGGTGCTAAGCCTCTATTATTTCACTAAGCCTAGTTCTGTTGATTTACATTTTATAGGTAAGAAAACTGAGGTTCACAGGGGTGAAGGGAATTACCCTAGGCCAAACAGAAAAATGGCATTCTAATCCTGTGCCTGGTGTGTTGTTAGTATTCCTTATTTATACTATGACCAGGAAGGGTTTGGGAAGAAAGTGCCAATCATATGTATTACAGTGTGCAATTATTTTATTTACTAGGAAATTTGAAAATTTTTCCTTGCAAAAGGCAACTTTATAAAGCATTTGCTCTTGATCTGCTTCTCTTCTCTAAATTAATTTTATAATTAACTTGAAACTAGCATGTTGCATTTGCATTCAGCCAGCATCCTGTTTTTTTTATCATAGCAATCTTAAACTTTTTTTTACTTATTTGTTTTTCTGACAAGACTTTGGGGCTCTTGGAACAAAAACAATATCCTATTTATATGTGTCATTCCAAGAATCTAGCATACCAATTTACCACTAGAAGCTACTCAAAATTATTATGAGTGTGTGCACATGCACAACAGGAGAGAAAGCCAGACATACATGTTAGGTGTCTTTCTCTATTACTCTCTACATTTATTATTATTATTATTATTATTATTATTAATTATCATGTGTACAATGTCAGGGACAGTGGCAAGGGTGGGGGGATACATGTGCCATGGTGTGCAGGTGGAAGTCAGAGGACAACTTCCTGGATCTACCTTTGTTTGGGCTCTGAGGAGCAAACACTCAGGTGTTTGTGCAGTAAGTGCCTTAACCTACTGAGCCATCCCGCTAGCCCTCCACCTTATGTTTTGAGATAGAGTTTCTCACTGAAGCTGGAAACTGCTGTTTCTGCTTAACTGGCTAGCCAGGGCACCTGGCTTTTACATGGGCACTGATTCAAATTCAGGCCCACTTCATTCACATTCATCTCCCTAGCCCTTCAAAGTGATTTTTAAGACAAGAAACCTCGTAGTAGGTGTTTTTAGCTTTGTTCTTCCATTTACTTCTGCTCTGTTATGCAAGGCAGAGGCTGCTTAAACTATCTTTCTCCTTTTAAAGGCCCAAGATGGCCACCGATGTTTCAGGCATCATATGGAAATACAATAATAGCCAGCAACAGAATACTTATGCAGGGGGCAGGGGGGTGAAACAGGATCTGCTGTAGCCCAAACTGATTGACCTTGAATCCTCTTGCTTCTATATCCTGAGTGCTGGAATTGAGGCAGGATAAAAAAGGAAAATTATGGGAATCTGGGAAGGGAAAGGAATCTCTCACTCTGGAGTTGGCTGAAGCCTCTGGTCAGCTAAGAATCAAAGATTGAAGCAGAGTTAACATATGCTTAAGACCATTCTCCCTTCCAGCTGTAAACTTGCTATGAAGGAGAATTCCTGGTAAGAATTTGTGTCTGCAAAGGCTGATGGACTGATTAGAATGTCAATGATGTGGAGAGGTTGGAATGTTGCAAGTCCAGAGCCAAATTATCTTGGGGCATCCTTAGCCCCCTGAATAGCCATTTTTTGTCCTCTTCTGTACATGACCTAGTATCTTTTGTAACTGTTAGGTGAACATTTGGATTGTACGAACATACCCCTAGTTTCCATCAACCAAAGGGATACTGTCAGATAGCATCTAAGGCCTATAGCCGAGTTTTTCCCACTTTGCTGTAACCTGCCTGCCTGATGTACTCACCACTATATTTGAAAAGTGAGTTGTTTTATGATTTTCTTTGTTTTGTTACTATAAAAAGTTTATGAACTCGCTACCTCCTTGGGAAGACCCAAATCTGTGTTCCCAGGTCATGATCACACATACTTGGCTCCAGAATAAATCATCTCTTTAAGTTCTTTCAGGTGAGAGATGTTTCTTTTGTTGATGATACAGTTTTCTAGGAATTGCTCTTTACAGTAAGAGGACGTGTGCAACCCTTTTTGAAGCTCTAATGGCTCAGGTTTTATTTTGCCAGTTTATAATCTCATCCAAGTCACCTCTGGAGCCACCCTATAATCCTACTATCAAAGGTGGCTGATGGGGGTAGTTTCTTAGCAACCCTTTGAATTGTAACTTGAGCGCCAACAAAATGGTATGTATGGTTAGTGCGGAGCCACCTAACTGTGACTTGCCTTTGAGAAGCCTGTACCTGTACTTGATCATATCCTACTCTTTCTCTGAGCAGCTCTCTTTCTCTTAACCCCTGTGTTTAACATCTGTTTAAAATATCTCTTAACAAACTGTGACTCTTCTTTGAGAAGTACATATCCATGTTCTTAGGTGAGTTTTTATTCTTTTCTGGTATGCTGTTCTTTCTATTTTTAATAAAAGCCAAACTCTTCATATTGACTAATCTTGAAATTCCTTTTTTTCATCAAAGCCAAGGATCTGGGTTTGCTTGAGTCAAGATCCCTAAAAGGACTCTTCAGACTTCTAAGGGATGACACTGTGGAACTATGCCTCTATCCCTTT